TTCTGCAACAGCTCTTCTACAGCAATTTCTCCTGTCACTTATGGGTGATGTGGATCACTTTTTGTGTTTATTTTCAATTTTTTTTACACTGATTAAGGCATTTTGTTTGTTTTGTTTTGTTTGTTTTATGCACACTATGCTGCACGACTCTGCCCCCTGCTAATGTAAACTGGTAATTGCAAGTTTCTTGGGATGGGTATTTTTGGCTTTTAGAGGAGACATGTTATGCGAGATCCAACTTTTGCATTGTTTTGCACAGCCTTGTGGGTCTCTGCTGCCTCTGTTGACATTCTGCACACGGCACAGCATCTGTCCACCAGTTTGGTGTGGCAACATATGCAATGCCTTGCTTGCCGGTATCGGACCTGTTTTACCTAAATCCTTTTATGCCTCTTTTGCTCTGGTGAGCCATGAGTTATCTCGTGTCTCAAGAGGAGGGATGGCTGATAACGATTTTCCAACAAAAACTCACACTATTGCACTGTCTAAATGAAATGGACCCTTCATAGAAGAATGATGCATTAACAAGTAGCAAGGTGCTATGCACCCACTTGTGTGCCTCTAGTGTAAGATAAGTAAAGTGAACACATTTGTGAATGAGGTAATGGCTGGATGTTTGAGACCTTGAATTTGAGCTGAAAGAACTTTTGTTAGTACAGTTGTGGATGAGAATAACTGGAGTCCAGAGTGACAGAGAAAAGACTTTAAATATTGGATGATAAGAATTTTTGCTGAAAACAAGTCAAAATCAACAGTGATCTCCCAGAATTTTCTTGTGCTTTTTCGCCCACAGGTCGTGAAACCAGGAATTTGGGTTCTGATGATTGTGCTGAAACAAGACAATTGGGGCAGCCAGAGGTGAGAAGGTCCATTCCAACTACTCCTCACCACTCCTACTGCTGTGAAGCTTGCTGAGAGGCCATCCTGGATTCATCTATCCCACTGCAAGCTCATCAACGTCGACTGACCGCTATTAGAGCGCTACGAAGTCTGGCTGCAAAGGCGTGATGGTAACAATAGGTACTCATATCTCAACCCTGGTGAAGATGAAGATCTGCTTCAAGCATGTTGGTTTCAACCAGTGCTGGACTGACCATAGGGCATAGCGGGCAACTGCCCGCTGGGCCGACCCTTTCATCTTTTATGGGCCGGTGTCTGTTTTTTTTTTTTTTTTTTTTTCTCTGGCCTCTAGTTGTTGCGGACAACTTGTCCGCGCCGCCCCACGCGATGCCTCGTAAAAGTTGGTGGATTGGCCAATTGGTAATAATACACTCTGGGCTGGACCAATAGCCAGAGGTCTGATGCACCCACCAGTAGTTGTTTGTGAATCTCAGTAAACAGACAGACGAGCTTTACAAAATGGAGAACAAAAAACGGAAAGGAGGAGCGGAGAAAATTCGACTAAAAAAGAAACTGGCCCTTCAGGCTGATGCTGGCACATGTGTTAAAATCTCACAGTTGTTTGGTAGTGAAGGTTCAAGTAAAATCAATTTAGGAAGTGATGGATCCTCAGCCCAGCGACAGGTTGGAGAAGAAAAGAGGGAGGAGGAGGAGAAACCCGAGCCGGTGTTGTGCCATAAATTGACTCGCTGCCAAAAAATGATTAGCCACCGCGGGATCGCGCACGGTTAGGTAATTGCATTTCTAGACAAAATTCCCCAGGATTTCGCCCTAAAACTCAGCATATCTAGCAATATGGACATTCAGAAAGCAAAGATAACCTCTTCCGGTACTTAAACAGATGTTTATCGCGGATATTAGTGTGGCAGTGTTTGTGGCACCCTGCGCGGGAGCACGAGGACGTGCTTGTGGAAAGAGGGAATAAGATGTGGCTGTGTGAGCATCCACAATGTCCCGATTGATGATGCGCCCTGGCTATTTGGCCAAGTAGATGTCCCTTTGGCTGACTGGTTAGAGCGTATGACTTTCACCCGGGAGTCTGGGGATCGAATCCCGCCCGGGCACTCGTTTCTGCACCTTGCCACATTAGTTTTTCCAGTTCGGAAGTTGTTTTAAGTGTTGCTAATTGTCTTAAACGTTCACAATGAGGATATATTAATCCTTTTTGCAATATTTGAGATTGAAAGATGGTTTGTGCCACAAACTTTGTGGTAAGAACTGGCTTTCTTTATGTTACAGCCTTGATACTAAAAAAATAAATAAACAATGTAAAATGGCACCCTGTATTGAATGTAAACGTTGTATAAATGGAATTAAACAATTCTCCAGCAATTAAATTTTTTCCCCTTCCTTTCTTTAGTCTACTTGACATGGAGCCACAGTTAACTAGTTTGGGGCACATTTTTACTTGAAAAAAAGTATTTAAAATGATCAAGCTTTGGCTTTAATGACACTGTGTAGGTTACTATCTATACATTACTTTGCTCTATTTAAAAGTAACAAGATAAAAGCACTTCAGCACATAAAATTAAGATTGTCACTTGCCAAATAGACTACACCCTCCCGTTTACCTATAAGAAATGCCTCAAAATATCTTTAAATTCTTTATTGATGATTTAATTGTAGACAAATAAAATGGCATTTTACTTGCCAAAAAGTGATTGAATCGCTAAGATTTTCATAGAGGCTAAAATTGACCAAATAAGGGTTTTATGTATTATCTGTTGATGTTACTGTACTCATACTGCCCACTGTGTCATCAAAAACACCCCAAAAATGGCAAAAAAAAAAGAAGATAATTTCCCTTGCCAAAAATTGATTACAGTGTCCTGGTCACCTGTAAAGGGTTACATTTACCTAAATATTACTTTATTTATTATCTCTTGATGTTATTAGTGCCATCACAGGATGCCAGTTGTCTTTCACATTCATAAACACCTAAAAAATGGCAACAAATGATCATTTCCCTTGCCAAAAATTGATTACAGTGTCCTGGTCACGTGTAAAGGGTTAAATTGACCTAAATATTACCTTATTTATTATCTCTTGATGTTATTAGTGCCATCACAGGATGCTGGGTGTCTTCCACATTCATAAACACAGAGTCCTGGTCACCCATAAAGGCTTAAATTGGCATAAATATTACTTCATTTATTATGATGCTGGGTGTGTTCCACAATGATATTTGAATAAACGTGAAAATATTCTGTCCGAATATCTGTTTCTTGTTATAAATATAACAGCTAGAAGCATTTACAGTTAAAATAGGAGAAACACGTGACTCCCCAGGAAGGGTCGTAACACCACTTGCCTCACGCACATAAGTGAACAAAACAAAGCAGCATGGAGACACTCCGTCTCCAACCACCTCTCAGGCAGCAGCCTGCACTCCCAAGTTCGACACGTCACCAGAACATAAACAACCGCAACACAATAAAAGCAGTGTTATACAAAATGGAAGGCCTGAAGTGTTTATTCTCTTACAGTAACAACTTATCAATTTTTTGGAGGAATTTATTTAGAATTTTTTGGTTTTTATTAATTGTGCAATAGAAAAGTAATCGCTAGATTAATCATCTAAATAGTCATTAGAATAGTCGACTATTCGATAAAATAATCGTCAGAATAATCATTTTAAAAATAATCAGTTACCCCCAACCCTACTTTTTAGAATACCAGGATAGGAAGGATGGTGTAGGTTTACGTTTATTAGATTGATACATAAATACTACCAATAACGTTGGTGTGTGTCAGAAACAGCGTAAGGCTTAATGTCTTTTCCAAAAAAAACAGGTGATGGGCCGGTCTCCAGTCAAAATGCCCGGGCTGAATTTTTGTCCCAGTCCAGCCCTGGTTTCAACACATTGTTGATGTTGGTGCTCATGTTCATGGCCCTGCACTTGGGCCACCTGACGAAACGACTGGGACAGCAGCATCTGATGGGAGAACTGGAACTGGATCGACGGATTGGGGCTCCTCCCTGACCACACACCTACATGACAACGAAACCTGCACCCATCTCGGCTGAAGACCCCCTGGACGCAACTACGACAGGACACAGCGAAGAAGAGACGCTGGAAAAGGATAACTACTTCAATCACCTGCACCCAATCTCTAACCTGGTTTCACGGTCAAAGGATCAGAAGGACTTTTCGGGGACAAGATCAGCTCCCTGACAATTGGAACACCACCTCAATACGCCATGGGAGGACCCTGATGTCTCCCTATTGAGAAGTTGAACTGTGTGCTTTCACATCCCGGATTACCTGGATTACATCTTGCATTCCAGACCTGGACTTCAAGGAACTCATCAACTCATCAATGAAACCATCGTGATCAACGGAAGAGGACTCTAACCATTCCAAACTATTCTTCAATCTTTGATGAAAAACACCTGTTTGCCTCAGCTTCTGACATAGTTGGAGCTGCATGAATTAATATTACATGTTCATTATTTCCTCATTCACTGAAACAGTCGTGTGCGACCTGAAGCTTTAAGTTCATCTGATGTTTCAATCAGTTCTATTGATGTTTTCTGTATATTATATGGTTTTGCTAACCCTTCCCAATCTCTTTACAGGAACTGCTATAACTTGTAGATTCGTTGCATCACAGTACATTCACATCAAGATGTATGAAATAGCTCTTCTTAAGTTTATGATGGTGTTGATTTAACTGATTTCCATTATCTCACTTGTATCTCTGTAAACTGTTGTTTGATGCTATTGTCAGTTGTGTTTGCCTTATCATGTTTTATTATTTTATTTGTTCTTTGTTTTGTTTTTTTCTTTTTGTTTGGTTATCCTATTTGGATAAACAGAGGGATTATGCTATGGAAATTTTATGTTCCATTATTTCTTGATCATTAATCCTGAAAGCATTCTCACACTCACACCCACACATTCGTGTTCTTCCCATACACACACACTGTCTCTCTCACTCATGCAGACACTGTGACCTCACTTCCATTCACACACACACACACACACACACACACACACACACACACACACACACACACACACACACACACACACACACACACACACACACACACACACACCCCTCTGTTCTTTTCTTATCTCATGTTATAAAATAAACTCGGGGCAGAGTCTCATGGCAGTTGCCTCGTGCTCTGCCCCGGATTGCAATTTAGTGACCTGTCTGCTTATTGTCTCCTTTTCTCTTCGACTGCAGGTATCGGGTAATTGATAAATTCCCTAATATTTGGTAAGTAGCAGCTATGCTAGGGGAGAAGAGATTACGTGGGGACGTCATATATGCAACGTGCCGATTTCTAGTTTGTAGTCATGCTAATTACGAACTTCTACAAGCTAATAAATCTCAAAGTATGTGACTAGCATGGTCGAAACACCCATCATTACTTTTCATTTAAATTGCTGTACAGCATATTTGCGATCCAGGGCGTAAGGCAAAGCAGATTAGAAAATAACATTTTTAGCCCCGTTGACTTGCATTCATTTTTTCGTTTTTCCAGGGACCCATGATGCGTAAGTGACCTAGGCTCCCTTTAAAGAAGGGCTAATTTCCTGTAGTCCCAAAGGTCCGGATTACACAATTACATAAGTAATCCATCTAAGACAATATATTTCATTACACTTACCAGTACATTAGACAGTGCATTTAACACATTCACACAAACATACAATTCTGTCCCTTAAAAGATTGTTTGAAAACATTTTAAAGTATACCACCCCTACAGATAAATTGTTTGACCTGTGCTCTAAAGGAGCTGAATGTAGAACACTTTCATAGTTTGTGGGAGTCTGTTCCACAGATGGCAGTGTTGGACAGATAATACATTCTGCCCAAAGGTTGTCCGTCTGCGGGGTGTAATCAAATCTCAGTTTGTAGCTTGTGTGGTCCTGTCTAAATTACCTTTACATTTAATGAACTCTAGTGGTGATGGGGCGAGGGAGTGTAGAACATTATAGATCAGACAGTCTTTTAAGATTCAGCATGTTATTAAAATCCATTTTGACCAAAACAGCCATACATCAAGAATTTCTCAACATAAGTAGTAAGTGACCTGCACTTCTATAGCGCCTTTCTGGGTCAGAGGACTCTAAAGCCCTTTACACTAGTCAGTCACTCATCCTTTCACACAATGATAGTGGTAAGCTACACTGCAGCCACAGCTGCCCTGGGACACACTGACAGAAGTTGATCTTGGTTTAAAACTCCGACATAAATACATGAAAGGAGGTAAGTCTGGACAATCTAGAAAAAAATATCGATAACAATTATTTAATATTGATCGATACTGATAATTATTGAAAAACATTTAAAAAATAGAAAATATATTTTTTGTGCAGCCCTTGCCATTTTATTTTTAGTATTAAAATTTTTTCTCCACCTCTTCTGAGACATCTTGCTGCCTCATGCTCTGTTTTGGCTTGAGAAGGGCAGGGCCTGTTGAAGTAGTGTGCCCGAATCTGTGGTTTTGATTGGTTAGGAGTAAGCAGTGAGTCTAGTATGCTGCTACCTGTTAGGTTATAATGAATAAAGGAAACATTTTTATCAAAATTTTATCGAGCCATTTTTTTCTATCGCACCACATGTCTATCAATAGATATATTGAACTATTGAATTACTGTCCAGCCCTAATAGGCAGTCCTTTCAGGAAGGCAGGCCTCTAATCATGGTTGCTATGGTTTTGTTCTATTTTAGTTCATTTTTGTTTTTAACATAGAAACATGATTGTAATCCGTCATCTAAAGTTTAGCTACGTCTTTAAATGTTCTCAGTGACTAGAAGGGGAACATCTGAACAAATACGTTTTAGTAACAGATGAAAATTTATGACTGAATGACGAAATATTTTGAACTGATTCAGACTTGAAACATAGTCACAGATAAGATAGGTGGTTTAGATGTAAATAACTACAAATGTGAGTTTTTTTAAGGCAAATCATAGATTATATCACACAAAAAAAAAACAATACTAATACATCTGACTGGTTTAAACTTGGATTTTTAAGTGTTAGGAGTATTTTTCTATATTAGATGCTTTATGAAACCATCTATTACCGAGCTCTAACCAGAGACCTGCAGCTACAAAAACTTCTGCCAGACACAACTTGTCCAACTGCTTCTGCTCTTTCTCTGCCTGAGGCCACACTTTCACAACAATTTGCATGCAGCCTCAGATTCAAACTATAATCAGAGCATGAAACAAGTAATAATGCAGGATTTTTTTTATTCATTTAAGCAGCAGGCCAAACACACTCCTACAGCTGCATCAGGAACACACTACACCTTTCTGCTATGACAAAGACAGCTTGGATTGATGTTTAGACCTGCCTGTTGGTGCACTCAGACCTCCTTAAGACCTGCAGGTAGCAGCAGAGTTAAATATTGTGGGAAATATGCATATTGTGTCCTCCCTGGCCAGGGAGAAAACCCACACCCTTGACTAAGGATCACAGAGGAGCGTTTTAGATCAGAGTGGGTCCAGACCCGGGTGAGAATGAGGAGGTTTTTCCGAGCACACAGGGATGAAGACTACAGCCAGATCCAGTACCTGACTGCTAAATGCACCCGGCTGGCTCACGACAAGGGTAAGTCTTTAAGGCCAGGACTCTTTTGCTTTCTTTTGACTGTTAAATCTGCAGGACGTTATTAGGAAGCTAAGACAAAGACAACGGTTTTCTTGGTTCAGCAGAGAAGAGAAATGTAAAAACACAAAATTCAATTAACTGCTGTTATGGTACATTCATTTTTCAGAAGTAGACTTTTTAATAATCAGTTATACAAGCTGATTGCTCCCATTGCACCTATCTGTTTGTTTTCATGGTTTAATATTTTTAAACAGCAGTGTTGCTTTAAAACATTTCTTGTTCATTTTGAGTAAAATACTAGCAGTTAGTAAATAAACAAAATCACACTGCAGAAGACTAGTACAACTGTTGTTTATTTTTATTTTTAACATTTTTCATTTATTTGCTTGGAGTTTAGACCAGTGTTTTATTGGTTGAGAGTCCCTCCCTCGCCTCCCAAAAAACTGTGGTTTAGTGAGTTGTTTAGTTGAAGAAGTAAACATTTTCATGTTACTTTTCTCTTCATTGGTTTTTATTATGAATTTTCCTGAACTTAATGACGTGAAATTTGATTAAATAAAGCAATATGGCAAAAAATAGAATAATTTTATCTCTGGATATGAAAACACGCAACAACCTCTTATGATCTTTAGGTCAGTGATAGATTATTAGAGTAATCTAAAATTTTTCTATTTGTTATCTGAATTTACAGATTATTGCTAACTGCTCATCCTGACTGAGGTGTGATTATCTTTTTTGCTACAGCAGTGCTGGAACGAGAGTTTTTGGTGTCCAGAAACAAGGAGAGGAAGCTTTATAATGACCTGGAGGTCGTGACCTCTCGGCTCTTCCAGCAGGAGCGTCTGAACCGTGAGCTGAGAATAAACCAGGAGCAGCTGATTGGCAGGATCCGCCAGCAGCAGGTGGACTGGGATGGGGATGGGGTGCAGCATGGCATAACCATCTGTATGATATAATGAAGGATAAAGTTTGTAGCCAGTGTTATTTAGCATCGTATAACGCTTTTAAACATTCAAATTATGATCTATCAACCTCTTTAGGCAACAAAGATTACAATTCATGTTGCTGAAAAATCTGATTTGACCACTAATTTGTAAATAATTCAGCTTTAATTGGAATAACTAAATATTTTAATAGGAAAATTCATTACATTAGAAGTATTTAAAATGAAGCCATAGCCATAGCTTGGGACTCACTCATTTATATCCATCTATCTATCATCTATCTATCTATCATCTATCTATCTATCATCTATCTATCTATCATCTATCTATCTATCTATCTATCTACACACACACACACACACACACACACACACACACACACACACACACACACACACACACACACACACACACACACACACACACACACACACATATATATATATATATATATATATATATATATATATATATATACATATATATCACTCACTCACTCATGTACCATATGTATGTATGTATGTATGTATGTATGTATGTATGTATGTATGTACATACTGATGCAGTTTCTTACCTGCAGGCTGTGCAGAAACAAATGTTCTGTAAAGCTCAGAGGTATTTGATAGATATTTGAGCAGTGTGACTCTGTTTCCCTGTACAGATCTGACTCTGACAGGTCTGGGCTAGCCTGAAAGTCTTTTGTACCTCCTCTGGATTTAATTGAAGTGTTGAATGGCAGACACTGCAGTTATGCATACGTAGCAGTTCTAATCTGTATTTGTGTTGCTTAAACCCACATCTTGTCCCTGCAGGACCTGGTGGATGTCCTGCAGCAGCGCATGATCCTGCTGGTGGAGGAGAGTTCACGCGATGTAGAACTCCTGAAGCAGGTCAGCTCAGAGCTGCAGTGTCTTCAGAGCTCTGAGGAGAAGCTGGAGGGCCTGGTGGAGGAGCTGCACACTGAGGCCCAACATCGAGCTGCAGTGGCAGAAGGCCTCCAGACAGAGCTGCACAATGAGGCCCAGCGCACAGCAGCACTGACAGAGAGCCTACATGCAGAACTGCACAGGTGGGGTTTTCTTTCTGCAGAAAAGGACTCACAAGACCAAAGCAAATAAATTGATTTTAGGAGTGAATGAGAGCTTTTAAGTCCTCAGTGGTGATTCTTCACGGACAAACCAAGAGGAAATACATCTAAATGTGTAGCAGTAACTCAGAATAGATCTTTTTAAAATGCTGAACAGTTAATGTTTTAATTTATACTTGTTCCTTTTGGCTCTTTTTGGCTGTTAAAAAAGTGAGATGATGCACCCAGATTAGGCTGCAGATGAAAAATAGAAAGACTCATCAAAATAAAACCTTCTGATTAACATCAGAGAGAAACTGAAGCCAGATGATAATGTGCAGCTGCTTAATCTCAAGACTTGTAAAGTCTTAAATATATCAGTTTTAATCAGCAGAAAGACTATTTTCTTTTAGTGTTTCTGCTTCTCTACCCACCAGACAGCCTTCAATGTGTAAACAATATTGCAAATGTCTTTAAATTTTGTTATGTTTTACCTTTTTAACCCTTATACGACCCTAGTGCATTTTTTGTTCTCAAAGGACATTAACATTTGAAAATTAAGGTTATATAAGGGTTAAAAATTATTTAATGCACATATAAATGGCCTTTCCTGTGGAGTTAAAACAGTGAGCCATAGTAAAACAATAAATCTATCAATTTTATTATTTCCATTTAATTTGAATGCTAATAAACAAAACAAAGAAGATTCTGGTTCACCATTCAGCATCTCAGAAGAGGAAAGTAGTGCGCCACCAACATTGTTTTATATTGGGGATGGTGTACTGCTGACCTCTACTCGGGATGTTGTGGATCAGTGGGCAGAATACTTCGAAGACCTTCTCATTCTCAACGGCACATCTTCCAGTAAAGAAGCAGAGTCCAGGGACTCTTGGTTGGACTCTTCAAATCTCTGGTGCTGAGGTCACTGAGGTGGTCAAAAAGCTCCTTGGTGGCAAGGCTCCAGGGGTGGATGAGATCCATCCAGAGTTCCTTAAGGCTGTAGATGTTGTAGGGCTGTGTTGACGGACGCGGCTCTGCAATATCTCGTGGACATCAGGGGCAGTTCCATTGGACTGGCAGACTGGGGTGGTGGTCCTTGGATTTAAAAAGGGGGACCGCAGGGTGTGTTCCAACTACAGGGGGATCACACTCCTGAGTTTCCCTGGTAAGGTCTATTCAGGGGTTCTGGAGAGGAGGGTCCATCGGATTGTTGAACCTCAGATTCAGGAGGAGCAATGTGGTTTTCGTCCTGGCCATGGAACACTGGACCAGCTCTATACCCTTAGGGGGATCCTGGAGGGTCTGTGGGAATTTGCCCAACCAGTCTGCATGTGTTTTGTGGATTTGGAGAAGGCGTTTGACCGCATCCCTCAGGGGGACTGTGGTACCCTGGGAGTATGAGGTACCAGTCACCAGGCCCTCTGATACGGGCTGTTAGGTCTCTGTATGACCGGTGTCAGAGCTTGGTCTCCATTGCCTGCAGTAAGTCGGGCTCATTCCCAGTGAGAGTTGGACTTCGCCAAGGCTGCCCTTTGTCACCGATTCTGTTCATAACCTTTATGGACAGGATTTCTAGGCGCAGCCAAGGTGTTGAGGGCATCCGTTTTGGTGGCCTGAGGATCAGGTCTCTGCTTTTTACAGATGATGTGGTCCTGTTGGCTTCATCAGAACGTGATCTTCAGCTTTTGCTGGAGCGGTTTGCAGCTGAGTGTGAAGCAGCTGGGATGAGAATCAGCTCCTCTAAATCTGAGACCATGGTCTTGATTCGGAAAAAGGCAGAATGCCTTCTCCGGGTCAGGGATGAGGTCCTGCCCCAAGTGGAGGAGTTTAAGTATCTCGGGGTCTTGTTCACGAGTGAGGGAAAACTGGAGCGTAAGATCGATAGGCGGATTGGTGCTGCATCTGCAGTGATGCGGGTGTTGTACTGATCCATCTTGGTGAAGAGAGAGTTTAGCCAGAAGACAAAGCTCTCGATTTACCCGTCGATCTATGTTCCTACCCTCACCTAGTTCACAAGCTTTGGGTAGTGACCAAAAGAACGAGATTGCAGATACAAACGGCCAAAAGGAGGTTTTTCTGCAGGGTGGCTGGGCTTTCTATCAGAGATAGGGCTAGAAGCTCGGTCATCCTGGAGGGGCTTGGAGTAGTTCTGTTACTTCTCCACATCAAGAGGAGTCAGTCGTGGTGGCTCGGGCATCTGATTAGGATGCCTCCCTGGTTTTCTGGGCACGTTCAACTGGGAAGAGGTCTAAAGAAGACCCAGGACACGTTGGAGGGACCATCTCTCTCATCTGGCCAGGGAACACCTTGGGGTTCCTCTGGAATAGCTGGCCCAAGTAGCTGGGGAGAGGAAATTTTGGGTTGTTTGACTTAGGCTGCTGCCTCGGTGAGCCGACTTAGTATATGTCGAAGAGGATGGATGGATAAGCAATTTTTAACAAGTAGCAACAACAAGGAAAACAGACAGAAAAGTGAAAAAAAGATAAAACAGTCAAATAAAATATAAGTAAGAACATTTTATTTATATAGCACTCATCAGACAGAAAATCACAAAGTGCTTCACATAGATCAAAACAAAACAAATTGTGAAGTCATAAAATCATAATAATCTTAAAACAAAAATAAATTAAAATCAGAAAAACAAAGTGTAATGACCCCCTTGGTTGGAGGAGTTTAAAAACCAGTGAAGGATATTAAGGTCGCACATATGGGCGTAGGAAACGTTCAGTTGTTTTTTTAAAGCTAAAGGCAGAGGGGAGTGTCATTGACAAACAAGGCAAATTCAGAATTAAACCAAACCAAACAGCTGAACGAATGCAAGGCATAACTAAAAACAACCTAGCAGGGTGACACAAAAAGCTCTGTTTTACTATGACCAGTTAAACAAGCCAAATTTACTGTAAATGGTAAAATGGTAAATGACCTGTATGTGACATAGCGCTTTCTAGAGTCCTGGAACCCCCCAAGGTGCTTTACAACACAATCAGTCATCCACCCATTCACACGCTGGTGGGGATGAGCTACAATGTAGCCACACCTGCCCTGGGGTGCACTGACAGAGGCGAGTCTGCCGAGCACTGGCGCCACCGGTCCTTCTGGCTACCACCAGCAGGCAAGGTGGGTTAAGGGTCTTGCCCAAGGACACAACGACAGCAATAAACTGAGCGAGGCTCAAACCTGCAACCCTCCGATTAAGAGATGAGCACTTAGCTCCTGTGCCACCATCACCCTAATTTAACTAAAATACTCAGGCTCATGGGCTACTGCAAGAGCAGCGAAAAACAAACAATCAAAACCAACATTCTAAACTAACTTTCTGTCAATTTGGATGAGAATTACAAGTGCAACTACAACCTAGTAGGAAGGATCCACCACAAGCAACCAAAATGGAATTATTGAATCCATTAGGCCTGTGTCTGATGTGGCAGAAGGACTGTGGAGCTCAAATGCTCCTCAGCTGCCGAGTGGCAGGCCATCCTCTTTTATACTGGGAGCCTTCATCAGGGGGAATTGGTCGCAGCTGTCGAGGCAAGGCAGAGCAGAGGGGAGGGCACTGTCCAGGAAGCTGAACCTGCACTGCGCCAGAGCAGAGCGGGGAGAAGAGTGGTCGGGGGGGGGGGGGGGGGGGGGGGCGCTAAATGGGATTCCAACAAAGAACCAGACAGCCAGGGGTCGTAATGAAAAGCCATAAAATTATAAAATACCATACAACAAATGAGAGAAGATTACAACTCTGAGTTAAAAATAAGAAAATAAAATATATATAAAGCATCATAACTAATAAACATATCAAGTAAAATAAAAATTATAATGATGGATTTTAGGATTAGTTTTAAAAGCCCAGATGGTAATAACTAGAGAACTAGGTTTCGTTAACTAAAGGTTCTGTCTCCCAGGGTGACAGAAAGCTGTTGTTATAAGAGCATTTAGGTTGGAGCCATGATTGGTGATTTATCAGCCTTTCAGAATTAATTGAACTTTGCAGGAAGCCAAAACAGATCAACACAAGAGAAGTGGGACCACTTTAAACTCTGGTAGCAGCTCTTTTTTGGGGTTTTAAGGAGTCAAATATCTGGTCTGGAGGAAACAAGTACTCCATCCAGCTTATTTATATCCCTGTGAGCCAGGATCTACATTATTTTTCATGTCATGAAGGTACAAAATGCTTTTCATAAATGAAATGTTAGATCCTCATCAGTTACTGCAAAGTGTTTTCATACTGACACTGGAGGTCAGTGTAACACCATCCAAATGACTTCCAGCATTCATATCTGTTCTAAGTTTAGGCGCAGTAACACATGAATTACGTGTTTTGTCTTTTTGTTATGAATAGTAAGACAGTGGAGCTGAAGGAGCTAAAGGACACCAACAGGGCTCTGATGGAGGAGCTGAGGGATCTCCACAGAGATCATCAGAAGGAGGTGAAGCATCACAGTTTATGACTGCTGGATTCAGTTAAAGAGTTAAATCATTTCTCTCTACAGTGCTGTGCAAACACATTTACCATAGACACATTTCCTTTGTATCTTTGTAAATGTCACAAATAAACTTTTAAGACATTGATGTAATTGGACTAGGTGGGTTTTTATACTATTGTTTCCTTCAATTCAATTCAATTCAGTTTATTTATATAGCGCCAAATCACAACAAGAGTCGTCTCAAGGCCCTTCACAAACATTCTAATACAATTCAGTTCATTAAGTCAGTTAGTAAAAGGTTTCCTGTATAAGGAACCCAGCAAATTGCAAATCATTTGCGTAGGTTATTGTTGTCTGACATTTAAAACTGTTTGTTGATCAGAAACTTTTAGTTGAAACAGAAAAAAAAGAAAAGAGAAGAGAAACAATAAATACATTTGTAAAAGAAAAATGCCTTTACTGAGAGAAAGAATACAGATGTAATTCCTGCATTTTACACTTACATTATTAGATCAGCTATATCCACCCTTAAGGTAAAAACTTATAATTTAATAAGAAGCTGAACTGCAAATTAAAACGATTGCAACTATTCTGTGGTGTAGATACAGTTTCCGTTTTGTCCAGAGGGTGTCAGTAAAAACACATTAGTCCTCCTATGTTAAAATAGCAGAAAATAGATTACACAAACAAACTAATGTTGGTTTATTAATTCTATTTCACTATAGAAAACCTTGCAGTATAGCAGATAAAACAGCCAGTTAAAACATGCAGGACTTTAAACAATAACTTTAGTAAAACTTAAATAAAGAAGCAGCTGGCTTTACACTCCCAACTATTCTTTCTGTGCATTTGTGAAGAATTCATGTTAAGATTTATTATCTTCATGCTCACCGCCCTCTTGGCCTCTGCCTTAACCCATCCATCAAGCAGCAAATAATCTGATCTACAGCTACCCTTCCATGACAGGAGAACAGCAGCATCACTAATAACCTAATGAGAGCACTTATTTACAGCAGTTCAAGCAGGGAATGATTCCAGAAGTCCTGGGAATATTAGAGGATGTCTGACTTTACTAATCATCTTTCTGCCTTTTTTGTATACATGATGCCTTCGGTGTTTCCTGATTGTATTGACTTGAATCCTTAGTGGTTTCAGGAAAAATGAAATGACATCATCTTTTCTGGTTCTTAGGTGTGCGAGCTGCAGCTGGAGAATGAAGGAAGTCTGAAGAAACTGCACGACACGGCGGAGCAGTTTGAGTGGCTTTGTCAGCAGCAGCGCTACTGGATGTGTTGTGTCAAAAGGTGTGTTTTTAACACATTAGCTACACACAGGAAATTCCCGCCCATTGTTTGATGTAAAACTCCTAACCTTAAATTCTAACATGAGGTGACTGTTTAAATAAATCTGATGTGTAAAAAAGAGGATTATGTTCTACAAAACCTTTTAAGACACAATCAAGTCAGTTCAACCAAACCTAAAAGAATACTGTATTTTGGACCTTTTGTTGTAAAAGTTATAAAGAATTAAAAGCCCATGTACGAGGAAAAAGCCTCAGTCCAGATGAATAGTGTTTTCATCTATCAGAACTGATGAATAGATCATGGACCTCCAGCCCTTGAAGAACTCTTGTTTCTCTGCTCCAACTCTACATTTTAACCAGTGCATGATTAACAGGCGTCTGCAGTGTTATATGACATAATAATCAACATTTCCACCATTGACGCAGGCTTCTGAGGAAAGAGGCTATTTGCTTTCTGACGTATCCTGCCACCATTACAGTCACATATCCAGTGCAGCATAGAGTATTTACATTGTGCTTACATTGTTTTAATGTAATTCTGACTTTTTTTAACACAAAAGGAATTGTCTCTCCTTCTCCTTCACCAATTCATGTGATTGGCACCTCTAAACTCACAATTCTCATCATTTCCATCCACAAATAAGATGCTGCATATCTTTGTCACTTTTCAGTCACGAGTGAATAAACGTTCATATTTTTGGACTTTCTCCACGAGGTGCTTTCCAATCTGTTCTGTGTCTGCTGCTAAATATCTTTTTGTTTTTGATGGGGCAATGGCAGTACTGTTCATGAATTGCAATTAAGCTTCTTGACCAATCACAAGCTTGCAAACTCCGTCACCTTTGACGGATAGTTAAAAAGTTGGTCATGTCTCCGTCAGCCTCTGCAAGCATTTCAGAGAGCCCTTGCGTTGACGCATAATGGCGTTGCACATCTCCATACCATCGAAGAAGTATAAATCAGGACATCCTGAAATTTAAGAAATAAAGTTGTTTTTAAGGAAACACTGAGTAGGTTTTCCATTTCTCCCTCCTACTGGTTGAAAGCGGAATAACAACAGGCATAAGCAACCCTGCCACAACCTGCTGTAATTAGTGCTAACAACAAGCTAATGCTAATGTGAGCCAACTGATATGTCACCAAGTAAAAAGATCCATACTGTTGCACAAAAATATTATTTACAAGTCCAGTCGAAACAAAGCCAGGTTATCATTAGTCTGTGATTTCATAGCTCCCTCGAGCGAGAGCAGGCTGGTGTTCTTTCTAGTTTAAGGTCTCCTCCAAACACAATAGTCTTACTTTTACTTGCAGCCTCTGCCATGATGCTATAAAACGCAAAATTATTTTTCTTCTTTGTGTGTTTTGACCGATTGCCGCCAGTTGGTGAACTAAAGCTAATATGAGCTACCAGCCCAGTGAACAGCTATTGCTGCAAAGCAGGTAGAGACCTCTAGTGTTCCGTCTTCCCCAAACAGCAAAATTGTTAAGTTCAGTTTCTGGTCAGCAAAGCCCTACAGAGTGCAGTCCAGTGTCCAATTTTATGGCTGAAGAATCACTTAAACCAGTTTCAAAGCAATAGCTTAAGGTGCTAAAAGCTCTTCAGCATTGCTTTTAAGCCACATTTACATCTGGGTGAGCTCAGACTGGACAGGGTTGGGTCAGCTCATCCCACATGCACAGCCAGGTTTTGTTTACACAGCCTTCTCAGGAATGCAGGTGTCTCTGAGCATGTGGGCAAGGCAAAATACGTGCAGAAAAGTCTGTGGTGCCCTCCTTAAGTTAGTAAAAAATAGCAGGCGTGAGCATTGTTTTTAGAGACTCTGACATGAAGCACACAGCTTCCTACTCTCTCACTCAGCTGCGGTGATGCTGTGGGCTCCACTCACAGCAATCAGTCCTCGCACTGCCACAGCTGGGGCAGCAAGTGCGAGCTGCAGTCTGAGAAAATGTTAACTTCATTGCATCCAGACTGATAATGAAATTGCGCATGTGAAGCTGCTGCTGACTGATTCTACATGCCAATCAGAGGCTCCTTCTGGTAGGTAAGCATGAACTTCAGCCAGTCAGTCGGTAATGGGTGTGTTGGGTCAGCTCAGCACCAAGCCAACCACCGGTGAGCAAATCTGAAACATAAAACACAGATATGAACACAATCAACCCACCAGGGCTTGACCAGGCCAACCCAGATGTGAATGCGCCATAACACAACAGCAATTCACGTTGGTCACTTTGGTCCTGGTTGAACAAAATCTATTCAGGAAGCTATTTTTATATACTAAAATATTTTTAATTTTTGCAACATTTAAATCTGAAACAAGACCTTGAATATTGGCTTCTTTTTTCATATTCATATTTGTGTGTATTTTAAAGCAAACAACAAATACTTTCCATGAGCTTGGGTGTCAAACAAGATAACATTTTGAAAAAACCACTTGTTCAAATATTTGCCAGGCTCAATATTTTTCAAATAACATTGCCATTTAGTCAAAAAAACTAGGTTGATCTAAATTTCGCACAATAAAAACAATTTTAATGCATTTTTACATCTTTTGTGCTCAAAGAAGCGCCTGCATCAGGAGAGGACCCTACACATGCCTTCATGATTGAATAGTTTCAGCACTTAACTGTATTTTGTTACTGTGAAGGAAAAAAATATGAGTTTTGTTATTTTACTCAGGTTCAAAGACTGTCTGATGGAGGAGAAAGAAACTCTGTTCCGACAGGTCAGCATGTTGGAGAAGAAGGTGGTGAAACAGAGATCACATGATGGAAGTTCGATGCTCTTCCCCCTACAGGACACACGGAGCTGCGACAGGTGGGCAGAGTCAAACAAATCCAAACAGAAAGTAGATTTTTGTCTGCTACACAGAATGCTGATTATTATCCAACATTGCACTTGCTATTAATTAAATTTGTATTCCAGTATCAGATCATGGGAGGCACATGCAGTTAAAGATCTGGATTCTCAGGGGGAGACACCTAACATCTACGGGGAGCTCTTTACTCAGGTAACAGTCTTTAAATAAATCTAAATAGTCTTTTTGCAGCCTAGAGATTGTAACGAGCCATTTCACAGAGATTCACAAAAAACAAAAAGTCCAGTTCACACCAGGTTATGATTCAAACCAGTTGCTTGTAGCAAATTCAATTCAGTTAAGCTGTAATAATATTTAAAGGTGTATTTGAAGTGGTCTAGGAATGAAAGACTTGTAAGTCATATTCTGGTGGGAAAAATCCCAAAAGCTCCTGTATCAGCATGGAGAAGTGAGCTGGAGGAGAAAATAGCTTCAGACATTATCGGTGTTACTCCATCCATCCATCCATCCATCCATTTTCAGCAGCTTATCCGGAGTTGGGTAGCAGGAGCAGCAACCTAAACTGGACCTTGATTTGAATACTTTTCCCCTGATATTTGAACATCTCTACCACTGACTCAGTTTGTTCTGCAACGTTGATCTCCACAAATAACACACACCTGATGGAGTTCTGCTGTGTGATGGAGTCGCTAATGCTAACAATTAGCTTCTAAAAGTCAATCTCTGTCATTTCCTGGACGCTAAAACAACAGACTTCCCTGTCATGAGTCAAGATGTTTGAGTCCATGAATGTTAAGTGACAGTGTGATGTAGACATGTCAAACTTTTCAAATCCAGGAGTTTCACTGTCTTTTTATATCAGACGCTGATGTAGGAGATAGGTGTAGGAGATGATTTTCATATCCAGGCTACATGAAAATCTCATGATTATAATCAAACTGATTCTAATCAGGAATAATTATTAAAAAGGTTTTTTCAGTGCTTTAATTAATAAATTATTGAATGCTAGTTGGCTGAATATTCCCAAATTGATTTAATCAAATCTCCAGTTTATTGCTGAGCAGTGGAACAGTGGAAATTAAATCTCCATTTAACAGGAATGGCCTGTATTTGTAAAGCGCCGTCTTAGGGTTCTACAACCCCTCAAGGCGCTTCACAACACAATCAGTCATTCACCCATTCACATGTTGGTGGGGATGAACTACGATGTAGCCACAGCCGCCCCGGGGTACACTGACAGAGGCGAACACTGGCACCACTGGCCCCTCCGACCACCAGCAGGCAAGACAGGTTAAGTGTCTTGCCCAAGGACACAACAGCAGCATTCTCTGGTCAGAGTCAGGATCGAACCTGCAACCTTCCAATTACTGGACAACCTGCGATAATTCTTGAGCTACTGCTGTCCCAGAAGAAATCTTGTGCCTGGATCCACAGCATAACTAAAAGGGATGAGCCAGGACAACAGAACATGATATTTGAGAGCTTTATGAGTTAGAGGTAAAACTTTTAAATGTAATTATGGATGAAGTGATGCCAAAACTGTAAAAATTAGATATCCCATCAGTGTTCTGCAGCATTTTAGATAAGCTAGAAGCATCTGAGAGAACTTTTTTGTGTAGCAATGTTAATCTGCATAACTAGACTTTAAGCTGTTGCTATTCAGCTCTGCTAAATTCTGAGAAAGATCAAACTATTTGGTAATGAACTTATATCATCTATAAATATCCACGGGAATATTTATATAATTGATAGAAGTTCACACACCAACTGGCTCGGTCTATATTTATTCAAAAAATATTAATATTTAATTTAAGAGATTTAAATTAATAGCAAAAGTTTATTTATTAATTCAGAAGATTTAAAGCAATTTTTGCTTGTTCAGTGACCAAATATACACCACTCTGTGTTTTATTTCAAAGAAGAGTCAGGTTTAAAAAGTTAAGAATTTATTACTAAAAATTTAAAGATGACAATTTGAAAGAAAATTCATAAATGACAATTTATAAAAGTTTTGGTATTAAAACTTGGTATTAAAACAATCTGTGTCTGGATGAAAACTAAAAATGAAATGTGTGTGTTTGGATGTGTGAATGGAAGGTCTCAGAAGGTTTATATCTCAGAGAGAGAAAACACGTTCTGGGTAAAAGAGTTGGGTTTGCAGCTAAGCTAAATTATTTCTTACTAAGAAACAGGCATCCAGACACAATCTTGTATTCTACCTCACCGTTCAGACGACCCTCTGTTTGGATCCGGAGGTCAAGGGAGGATGTTGGTCAGCCTCTGGGTACTCGGTCCGGTAGGGAAGACCAGTGGTACCGACTCTCTGGTCCTAGAGTTGCCGCATGTACACAGGTGTGGAATTGCGTCCGAGTAGATTCTTAAGGAATCTCGTAGCGTCAGCTTGTTGCAGATGGCGTTTTGTTGAAGCAATTCTATCAGCGTGACAGTAAAGCTTAGTAGAGGTTTCGAGCGGCCGACCCGATACTCTGGACTCTCGTCGCCACGGAGAGATTTTGGTGAGCTCAAGAACTGAACTTGATCTGAGGAGTTTTGGTTTTAACATACCTCAGAACACGCCCTCTCAAGATAGAAAGCTTTGGTGTTATGGAACAAAGACATGTGAGAGCAGTTACCTTTACCCTGATTTCTGTGTCCTGCATGGTGTGTATAAGTTCACATGACCTTCTTTACACTGTTAAACATTACTGATTATTATAAATATTAATAATTATTAACCAAGGAATAATAATTAATTTCAGTAACTAAATACATTTATAATGAACCATGATGATTATTTATGAACCTTGTAATAAGACAGTGAAAAGAGTTTATTAAAAATGATTCTTTTAAATCTTGAAGTGTCCTTCGTCTTGTGGATTGAGCAGCAGTTAGATAAAGGCAGTCAGATTAAAGATGGTTTACAGCAGACTTTGTATCTCCTGTGATGGATAATCTGTAGATAGAAGTGCAGCCAGGACAGCTTGACCCAGCTGAGGAAATGTGACCTTAGGGTCACAAATGAGGCCATTCATGTCACTACATTTGGATCAATCAATTAGTTAGCATGCATGTAAGAATGGAGCTGCGCAGTGGCGCAGTGGTTAGAGCTGTTGCCTTGAAGCGAGAAGGTCCTGTCGCTTCCCAGCCTGGGATCTTTCTGCATGGAGTTTGCATGTTCTCCCTGTGCATGCGTGGGTTCTCTCCGGGTACTTTGGCTTCCTCCCACAGTTCAAAAACATGTCTGTTAGGTTAATTGGTCTGTCTAAATTGTCCGTGTGTGTGTGTGTGTGTGTGTGTGTGTGTGTGTGTGTGTGTGTGCAGGATTGTTTGTCCTGTGTGTCTCTGTGTTGCCCTGTGATGGACTGGCTCTCTGTCCAGGGTGTACCCTGTCTGACTGCCCATTGACCGCTGGAGATAGGCACCAGCAACCCCCCCCCCCCCCCCCCCCCCCCATTTAGGAATGGAAAAAAATATGCATCCACCATCAGAGCTAATAGATGTATGGGTGTGACTGGTCTTTGTGTGCACCAGAATCACATCAGATTTTACTTTTAGTGATGATTTAAAGTTTGTGCAGTTAGTATGGAACCACATGTTCCTCAAAGAACACAGAGCAAGTCCATAAACCTCTAAATCATCAAACCGGTAAACAAACAGCGGACTTTATTTAGCATAAGCACTCAAAAATTTTATCTGACACTTATTAAAGGAAAACAAAACTAGTCAGAGATCCACAAATTGTCCAGTCGTTCATTTGTCTTTTATGGTGAAAAAAATACAGCTTTTCATTATTAGAAAGGATCCTTTAGGACAGACGGGCCTAATGTTCCCAAAGCTTTGGATCACAGATAAGTCCAAATTTCAGGGTTGAAGCAGAAAAGCAGAACATAATGTTTTTGAGAGTGGCTTCCAGTACCCTGTGGCCCTGAAGTCCTGCCAGAATGCTCCTAAAATGAAAACTTTATGGGCAATGTACTCTGACTTTTCTGTCTGCCTTAAAAGTCAAAGGGATTTAGGGAAGTTTTGCATTAAAAGCTATTTGCAATGAAGCTGGAACATCATAATGTCCCAGGAATTCTTCCAGGAAGCTTTCACAAATCCTGACAGGACCTCAAATACATCATCCTCCTGGAGGATTTAATGGTAAAAGGTGTTTTTTCGCTGCTTTGAGGATTTTGTTAAAGCCTCCAGATCTTCTGAACAACAAGTTTTTATAAAACCGACGATGAGAGGAAGTCTGCCAGACTGAACACGAGGCAAATACTCATCTGCAGATAGTTGTTGCTCCCCTGAGAAGCCGCTGGGCTTCCAGAGACGTCAGAGACTGCTGATCTTCTCTGAGAACCGGAGTCTCATCATCTGTCTGTCGGCTGCACACGACTTCCTCCCTACTTGCTTCCAAAACAGCAACAAAATGACTAATAATGACTGGGGGAGGTGATTGCCAATAGCCTCTGTGCCTCATTCTCCTTTCCTCGCTCAGGCACTGCTCTGCATTTCTTTTGGTAATTATTTTGATTGAGTACAGATGATGCAGACTTTTTTTCCTTTTGGTCCCTGCAGAGCTGAGAGAAAGAGGAAATTTCTCGGGAGGAGCGGGGACTTTCAGAGACACGGAGGAAACAGTTACAATAAAGCACATTTACAGCTCCAACATGATTTATGGAAACCACAGATTCACATTAACTGGACGTAACAAAGTCATTTTATTAATCGGGCAGAAACCAAACTTTTCATTATCCTACTTGGATTCACCTCCTGGTCCTCTTAATACAATTTGCATAAATCTGTGTCCGTACGATTGGGAGAACAAATGTCGAAAATACATTTTTGGCTCTGCAGAAGTACAACTTGTAGCTTTAAGGAACTAACCCAGCCCTTGAGAGTTTTAACCACACTAACTGTGACAGTCAGAACTGGAAAAACCACAGTTTTCATGTTGCAACACTAGACTGTGCTCAGCCATGTTTGTGGTTTGTATTCTCAGTATTCTCCAGTCTGGCCTGCTCCAAACAACACTTGAACTGTTGCTGGAGGATTGTCATGTAGACACACACGTTTTTGTAAAGAGAGCCGTGTCTACGCAATTTTCCTAACTTGAGAAACGATCAGCGACAGTTACAGTTATAGCAATGGGAGTACATGTGTAACTGATGCTAATCTGAGTATTCAACCCAGAGCAACATTGACAACATGGTGCAAATTTGAACGGTTTCACTTTATGGGTTGAAGACTGTTGTTAAAGAAGAATTATTTAGATTTTTCCAGCTCATTGAGTGAACTACAGAGTGAAGCTGGAGCATGGCCTGTTGAGTGTGTCACTTTCTAACACTGTTGGTTTGACTTTGATTCAGGGGCTGCATGCACTCTTGCACACCTGCGGGAGATGCAAAATGTCATCCAAATTCGAAGGCTAGATGCGTAGCATAAAAACTTTAAACTGAGTAATCTGACTGTTGTTCACTGCAGATAAATTATTGACCATTAATAACAGGTCCAGTTAACCTTAAGAACATGTTATGGTGAAAAAAGTTCTTGCTATCATCTGATAGCAGATAAATGCAACTTTTTCCCTAAAGACAATTTCCTCACTCTCACTCTGTTTTGTTGCCTTTTGTCATCTTCACTTACAGTTTATATTGTTTGTCAGCAGGCAGGGAGTCCTATCAGCCGATACCATAAACCCCCTTGAGGACAGGACAATGGGGTCTTCCTCCCTTCAGCGAACCAGAACATTACTCCTTGATGCTTGTACGTGTGGCTGGTTGTTTGGATTATTCTCCTGTCATTGTTTTAAAAAACAATCTTGGAAAAACATAACTAGAAAACTACACTTTTACTGATTTTCTCTCATCATTGTTTTACAGTCATGACTGAACCGAATCACACACTGTGTGCTCCTGTTGCTCATTATGTTGTCACATATGCACATCACATGTGCTCAAAGCTGTCCGGTCACATTTTTCAGTAATTGTCCAGTTTTCAAAGCTTGTAATCAGCACTGCTAATAAAAGCACCTGAGAATGCTCTGTTTTGTTGTTGTGCCAATAAATCTTAAACTAGTGAACAGATAAACAAACAAGGATGTTGTTTTGACCACAGTAGAGTCATTGTTTGTCTCGGGTTGGGGGCATCTAGTCTGATTATTACTTCCTTCAACTTGTCAGTACTCTTTCTCTTGTGAACATGCATCTTTAGATCAGATAATAAAAACAGGGCAAAGTAATATGTTGCAGATTAACATCATTTGCAAACCATATGACACATGTGGTGATAATCAGAGATTCAAGATTGTAGTTTTGATTTTCGTTTTCTTGGTGCTTGAAAGTTAGTGATTTTGTTGGTTTTCTAGATTTCTGTATAATGATAAAATAAAACACCATCTGTTTTCTACAAGTCTGAAAAAATTAAACACATTCATAATATTTGGTATTTTTGTTTGTTTCAGAGGAAAGCAAAGAAATACAAAATGCTTGCCTTTTTGTTTATGTTATTCATTGTTAGTGAATAAAACCACGAATACAACAACAAAGAAAAGCAATGATACACTTTAAAACATTTATAATGTATTTTATTTTTACTCCTGTTTAGGTATTTCATTTTTTAAATTAAAACATTATTTGAATTATATATATCTCCACAAACAGGAGTATATATATATATATATATATATATATATATATATATATATATATATATATACATCTATATATACATCTAGATACGCACATGTGTGTGTGTGTTAATGTTTCTGGAGATGAACGTGTGTGTGTTCTGGCGGGCGTCTTGTCAGAAAGGTGTGGCCCTGGTTCTGAAGTGGTGCCTCTGACCCCATGGGATCTCGGTGGCGGCAACACTGTACCTTCTTACTGCCAAAAGCTGTAAAAAAAGGACCTAAATGAGCTGCAAAGGATGGAGGTGTAGCAAAGAGATTAACAACGTGTTGCGTCGGGAAATACGCCTTGTTTTCACACAGTAAATACTCTCACTCCCCTCCTCAAATAGTGGGACTCAGACATTCTAGGTGTTATTAATAGAACAATTACAGGTACAGCAAGAATAGCATGGTTATGTCCGAGCCTGGGCACAGCCAGGGAAAGCACACGGCAGACATTCAACACCAGGATGCAGCCAATAAAAAGTGAGACTTGTTAAAACAGAGACTTATGTTTCAGTGTGTCTGTGCACTTGTTTGTATAAGCGTGCTGCTCACTGTATGAGGATTATAAAGAGCACCACAGGAGATTGGAAAAGCTCCAGTTATTTTGAATAAAAACCTGTTTGTGCAATGTTTACAAGAGCCGGGGCACAGTTTGGAGAAGGACTCCTTTGTTTACAAAAAGTGTTTGTGGTTCAGAAAACGGAGAAACATGAAATTGTGTCTTTTTCACTCCTCCTCAATCCCGTTGGGTCAACAAGTTGCTTACTTGTCTGTATGAACATCTGTTTGGTTTAATCAGGGTGATTAACACCGAGGCTCCTGTTTTATACATCTTTGACTAAAGAGTCAAACTGTTTGGATGCACACTTATGTAAAACAGAGAGACACTGTTTGGGTCCAAGAAATCCCACCAATAGTTAAGAAAGAGCTGGTCGGAAGGACAGCACAGAGGCACTCATCATGGCTGTACAGGAACAGGCCACACCAGAGCAACAGAGGCCAAGGTCTACCGCACCAGACAAGACAAATTGTAGTCTAACCTACAGGTCTGGTAGGATAGGTTCATTTTATTCACATCTAGGTAATCTGTGCCAGTGGCGTGTCTAGATCTTTTAAAATGGGGTGGTCCAGGTGAGACACCACTTTGTGCATGGGTGGCACCAATGGTTATGCTTTTTTTGTTTTACCCCCAAGCCTTTTGTGGACAACGAAAAGCCTATTTAAAGGTAAATTAGTGTGGTGGCACTTGGGGTGGCCAGTCAGATTCCAAGGGTGGCATGTGCTACCCCAGGCCACTCCCTGGACACGCCCCTGATCTGTGCATTCTCCACGCTGAGCTATAAGTGTTTTTTATGAACCTGGTTTCCGGAGATCTGCTTTGTGCAAAGCCAACCCAACACACCCACATCTGACTGATTGGCCAGTTGAATTTTACACCCACCTACACAGCGAGTCTCCGATTGGCATCTAGAATCAGCCAGCAGTGACTTATGGAACGCGCTATTCAGTTCCGCTATCAATATCAAAATGCAGTGGGGTAAATATCTATCTGACTGCTGTATGGAACAGCCGCTCCATCCGAGGCAGAGTGATGTTAGGAACACACAGCACTCTCCGTGAGAGGGTAGGAAGCAGTGTGCTTCATATCAGAGTCTCCAAAAACAACACTGCTTACCGCCGCCTTTGTTTACTTACTTAAGGAGGACATCATGGACTTCTCTGTGTGTTGTTTGCCCCGCCCACACACTTGGAGACAACCGCATTACTAAGAAGGCTGCGTGAGCAAAATCCGACTGCGTGGGAACTGGCTGTCGCTACCGAGACTGGACAGGGCTGACCCAGATGAAAATGCCACATGCAAAGAGGTCCTTGAGACAATCCACCTAATTACTGCAGGGTGTAAAATGCTGGCAGGGAAAGCATGGAATGCCACAACCAAGCGGCTGGCATTGTGTACAGAAACATACATCCAGAGTATGGACCGGAAGCCCTGAGGTCAAAGTGGGTAACACCCCCTAAGGTGGTTGAGAACGAGAGAGCCAAGCTCCTGTGGGACTTCCAGATCCAGACTGACAAAATGGTGATGGAGAACCAACCGGACATTGCGGTGGTGGACAAACAACAGAAGACAGCCGTTGTGGTTGACGGGGCAATACCAAGTGATGCAACATCAGGAAAAAGGAACATGAGAAACTAGAGAAGTACCAGGGCCTCAAAGAAGAAGAGTGAAGACATCGGTGGTACTCGTGGTCATCGGGGCACTCGGGGCAGTAACCCCTAAACTGGATAAGCGGCTAAAGCAGAACCCAGGAAAAACATCAGATATCTCAGTCCAGAAAAATGCAGTTCTAGGAACGGCTAAGATACTGCACCGGAACCTTCAAGCTCCCAGACCTCTGGTAGAGGTCCCGAGCTTTGAAGGATGAGACCACCCGCGGAGGGTGAGATGGGAGTTTTTAATTTAATTTTTTAGGAGAAACACAAAAAATAATTCTACAAAACAAGAATAGTAATATTTAATGTAATCCATACAGGCAAACCCCCTTAGCATTCCAGTGTTTTACACACACACACACACACACACACACACACACACACACACACGCACACACACACACACACACACACACACACACACACACACACACACACACACACACACACACACACACACACACACACATACACACACACACACACACACACACACTCGCACGCACGCACACACACATACACACACACACACACACACACACACACACTGTTGGGGTTATTAGGTAGCGAATAATTAGTAAGCTTCTACTCACTTTTGGATTCTTCAATAAATTCTGTAAATATGGGAATATTTACCGATGTATTAATTAATTAAGATACTCTTTAGGAATCTACGGGGCACCATCCCCTTTTACCGGGGAAAAATTGAATCCAAAACTCTTATCAGTCTATCTTAAAGATCGTGGAATCAGGAGCAAAGACTTTACGCCAACACAACAAATCTACTGGAGGCAAAATCTGAATTTTATAACATTTTATTAAACAAGGAGATTAATAATGCAAAACAATTTGATATAATTGAAAATGTGTGTGTCAAATCAGACCATGTGTGTGTGTGTGTGTGAAATCAATGAATGGGTCTTTGTTTTCCCGGAGCAGGTGTGCAGGGAGTGTGTCCTTGGGATGTGTAAGCTGTGATTTTTCTTCTCTCTCAGATGCAGGCAAGGGAATTAGACTTAATGACTTAAATCACAGTAAAACTTAACTTCAACACTTCAAAAGTTTAGACTCTTAAACAACAAAGGTCACTCGTAAATTATTTAATCTAAACAGAGTCGGCAGCCTGGCCACAGCTTACCGACAATACCAGATTAAATAAACAATAAACGAAAGATCTTACTTCACGGTAGATATCTATAACTTGTTTGATTACGGAAGATAGAGAAAACCGTGGGTATTTTGAAGCAATAGCGTGGTTTAATTAATTGCTTATTGTGAACTATAAGAACCGGGAAAGATAAAAAGAGAGAAAAGGAGAGGAGTTGGTTATCACCAGAACAGCGAGGCGTCACCCCCGTTTAATCTGACAGTCCTCCGTTGCTTTAATCGGCAGCTCGGCGTTGCCCCTCCGACAGCCAGGTTCTGTGTTTGAAATGCTCCAGCAGCCAGCCTCCCGCTGGCTCACGTTGATCAGAGCAGCAGCAATGAGCGTCCTTTACAGCCAGTGAACTGGGCATAAGAACAGTTAAGTTTCGTTTTTCGCCAAAACATAGTTTTGAGCTGGTTGTTGTGTTGTTTGTGCTCCGCCTTGGCAGTGATGTCATCACAATGCTTCCGTGTGCAAAGCATCATGGGAAATGAAGTTTCTTGGCGCTGATGTGATTATTTGCTTTTTCAGAGCAATTTAGCACAGTCTTTTGGAGAAAATTACCGCAGCAATTTCTCACGAGGGCATTCCCTCAACATTCCCCCTTTTGGTTTCGGGGATCGCGCCCAAAGCTCGATCGTCGGAAGCAGAGATGGGTGTGTCCCTCATGATGTTGTTCGACTTGGTTGTCGGACGACTTGATTGTCGGAAGCACAGATGGGTTTTTCCCTTAGGACGTTGGTCTCCTTGGACGCCTTTGTCTTTGGTCTTTGGTCTTTGGCTTTTGTCTTGGATCCTGGACAGGCACAAAACAAAAGAGGATAGGAAACGGGATAGTCCCCAACGCGCATAACGAGAAGAAGCCACCCACGCAGGTGGTACGCAATGATGATGTCGTCCATGCGAAAGGTAGTAGTAGAAGGAAGGTCGGTGGGCGGTTGACTCCACGAGGGGACACAAGGGCATCCGTCAGGGATAAAAGGTCATCTCACCGCCGGCCATACAGTTCAGTTCATGGAGCACGCGGTGATGTACGAGGTCCATGGTTCGCAAACG